TGTAAGATAAAATATCAAATAAGATAAAAGACAATAAAAAGTAAATACGTGTTAAAATCATATTATCTATTAAGAATAATGTATTTTAAAAAAGAAATCGTGTGTAAACTGGCTATTATTTGTTAGTCACAGCATATAAAAAAATTAAACAATCTTTATTCCGAAACTTTCAAAAACATTTGTTTGTTTTTTCAAGATGCGATAATAATTAAATAAATTTTTTGTGTAACTTTATGAAGCTCATTTAGATAAGGCTAATTTTGTTTAAGGAGAACTGAAAAATGAATGGTGAATTGAGAATGGACAATTATTCATATATGTTTAAATATAAAACGTGGTACTAGACGAGATTCGTTCCTTTTAATTGGAAATTCGAAAACAAAAAAAATTAGCTGATAACTCATCAGCTGATACCATTTTAACGGTAAATCTTTAAATATTTAAATGAATTAAATGAGTTGATTTTTAGAAAATTTTAAATATACGTTCGATATAATATTAAGCCTAACATTTATTTGTTCACATATATATATATATATATATATATATATATATATATACGTACGCGCGAATTTAGAACTGAATTGTGAATATTGCAAATTGAATTGAACTGAATCAAATTAAAATTGAATTGAATTGAATTTAACTGATTTGAATGCTATTATCTGCTATGTATAATATGTTCTATTTATGCTCAAATCTAAATTATCAATGAATGATTAAAGAAGAGGACAATAATTATAATTGTACAGTACAGTATATAACGATAACGATAGAGATAACGATAATAATAAAATTATACATAACGATTGTATCAATTAAACCCATTTTTGTTATTTATTTGTAACTGTCATTTAATCAGGGGTGGGAAGTTCCAATTTCATTAATTAGATAAAAAGTTCTAGTGTCTCTTCGACAATTCGATTTTATTTAATAGATTTTACGGAAAAATAATATATTTATGAAACTTCTATCGCTATTGTAAATTAAAAAATTTCCTTTAATACATATTAACAATACTGTAATATTTTTCTAGACCGTGTTAATCTACCAATAATTTTTTACCGATATTTATGAATTACCAAGTTTTGATTTTTCACATCTTTTTATAATCTGCTGTTCCAAATCGAACATTATCCCATCTTGATCTACAATCTCAACAACTCTTAACCTTAAATTCAATAGATGAAACAATAAACAATCATGAATTTGTACAAATGATTCCTGTTCAATTCCTAATGGATCTTCATGTTGAATCGCATTGTGTCTTGTACACTCTCTAAATTCTCTAAATTCTCTAAATTCTTTATATTCTTTATATTCTTTATATTCTTTATATTCTTTATATTCTTTATTTTCTTTATATTCTTTATATTCTTTATTTTCTTTATATTCTTTATATTCTTTATATTCTTTATATTCTTTATTTTTATATTCTTTATTTTTATATTCTTTATACTCTTTATATTCATTATATTCATCGTATTTTCTCACATCTTTAGCCTTATGTCCCAATGAGTCAATGATATTAGTAATATTAAAATTATTATCACAACTTACTATAATTTTTTCTTTATCATTTAAAGTCGGTATACCAACTACATTCTCACAAAAATCCATGATTGCCAAGTACATCTTTTCTACAATATCACGGTGATCTGTTTCATTATCTTGGTGAAATTTGTAAATCTTTAAACTATAATGTATCAGATCCTCCAAGATAGGTCGAAAATATTGTGAATGAATCAATAAAGTTTGTGCTTTAAGTAATTCGGAATTTGTAAACATATGTCTTTTGTATATTTTAATTAAATGAAATGTTATTTTTAATGAATGGTTTCCTGGAAGCATTGGTAGGTTTTCAAAATCTTTTTCGCACCAAGTGTTGTACCAGGAATCGTTCGAATTTTCAATTTCTTTGTTAATTGTTATTGATTCGTTAGGAATTGCCATATTACAATACTGTATTAATCGTTTAATTGACTTTATGAATTCAAGTTCCGTTTTTTAAGTACTTTAAATCATTAAATACTTACTTAATGCAATCCGAATATTACATGATATCAATTTTCGTAACATCAATAATCATTATCTAAACAAAGATAAAACAATAAACATCTCTGAAAATCATTGATAATATGTGAGTTTTAAATCAATTTTCTTTTAAAATTTTCTTTATTTTTTTTTATTATAATAAATAAAAAAAATAACCTTAGATGTGATATATTATTTTTTATTGAATGTCCTCGTTTTTCTGTTTCTTAAACTTATTTTCTCCTCCTTTTCTGTCACTTTCGCTTATTTTGCAAGTAAAAATGTATATTACGTTATTCTACAGTTTTTGTTGCCTTTTTCTTTCATGATCATGAGTAATACGCCACATCATGCTAGTCAAAGTTTGATTCATTCTACTTTAATTTCTTTGATGATGTCTGAAATAGTTGTCCATTCATTTTTACACGTTTATATTTCCTTTAAATTTGAATAAAACGATTTTGTTACTAAATTTTGATCATAAGAACGAAAAGATTTGTAATTTACGATCCTTGAATCCGGAGTCCTCCGTGATCTACGTTCCACTACTGTTTATATAGAATAGTATACAAAGTCGTAATACTTTCCTAGTTAAAATATTTTCTTGGCGATACAAGAAATTTTTCTAAAAAAGATATTGAAAATATATTTCTTTGAGATTAACTTTATTTGCTTATTTTTAACCTGAATTTTCTTAAAGTTTTGGGGTTAATGTGGTTAAAATTGTTTATTTGTTATCTCTTATCACTTTTTCAGGTAAATTTATCTGCAACTTTGTGAAAAAAAATATATCGCACTTTCTCCGGTAGATCTCATACAAATTCCTATTATAACAATAAGTAAACCAATCATTCATTCATTTGAACTTTTTTAATATTGACATTCTCAGAACGTATAATCTTTTTATCCTTTTAAAGTTTCGCTTACTTTTTGGGACCTTCTAAAAATAATATGATACCTGACACAGTTTAAAGGTCAAAAAATTGATATTTGAACTATATTATGAATAAATAGCTTTATTTATTATCGAAATGTCCCGCTAATTTTTCTTAATCTATTGATACAATTTGCGACTTAGCCGCATTTTTTGGGGATAAGGATGTGATTTTTAGTTATGATTGAGTAACTGTGTTCAAGCCAATTTGCCTTACAGTGTAAATAAATTAAAATATAAACAACTCCGATATAATAAAGTTTGCGCATTAGTTAATTTTAAAAATTTAGAAAAAACGGAACTAGAAATTTACTGTAAAAGTCCCGTAATTCGCGGATTGCATCATGACGGGTTCTTATTGATTGACTATTTATTTTTACAATAAATCCAGAGCTAAAGATTTTATTTTTCATTTACGTTGAACCTGTTTTAATCGGTTTTAAAATATGTAAAGGAAACCGGTTCTAACTCTAATCCGAATTTTTCCGAAACTCACGCGTTTAATATTAATGACATCACGCGGTCGAAAATAAATCACATGTTCTTTGCAAGATTAAAAAAATATTTGATTTACACTACAGAATTTATTGTTATTTCTGCTTAATAATATAAAGAATTTAGCAAAGACAACTCAAGCGATTAAAAAAAATTGCATACAATAAAAAAATCTAAACATTGCCAACTAATGCTACTATTACTTATTTACATGTTAGCTAAAGCATAATTATCATAAAAAAAATTACAATTGATAACATTGATAACATTTAATATTCTTTAGATTTCATAGTAGCTTTACAACTTTCAATCCATTCAAGGACTTTACTGATAATATTACTTGCTTTTTCCAATTCATTTTTCAACCATGCAACGTCCATTTCTTTATGTTTTTCATTTTCAATCGATAACAAATCTATTGCTAGTTGAACATCTTCACGATGTATAAACCTAAAAATAAAATAAAAATTCATAAATTTAGGTGCTATAAAAGAAATAGCTACTAATACTACAATATGCAAAATGAATTTGAACAAACTCTAATTCTTCCAAGAGTTCCAAGCAACTTTCTATTTTGTCGTCCGAAGAGTGTTTCATTGATTCTTTTAATTGATTCTTGATTTTATTCATTTTGTCCTGCTGTTCAATTAATTCCACAGTTGTATCTACCATTGGACCTCTTAAATAGATATTGTATTTATAAACTGCGTTTTTCCCTTTTTCTCTTATAGAGATTTTGCAAAAATTCATCACATCATTAAAAGTCTTGTAAAGTATCGACCCGTGAAATAGACGGATTCTTTTTTGCTTTTGAATCTGGCGGAACCAATTCTGAATTTTCCTGACTGCTTTTAGTTCTCTGAGAAATTTAGAAATCCCTCGAAGCCGTGAATAGAAAGAATAAGATTTTTCATCATATTTAATTTTTTTGACCATTGGCCCCAAATAATAAGTAAATTTCTCTTCGCCTTCTATATAGTGGGCAATGACCAGGGAATCGCATCTTGTTTTTATGAGGTCATCGTTTAAAATTTCAACAATGTCGTCT